CCTCGCCCCTTCTGCTACTCATACCTAGCCTCTTCTCGGCAGGCGCGCATGCTAGTGGACAGTCTAACGCAGGAGGGCCATCCCTCTAAGCTCATGCGCTTTCCTGATCGCACCACCACACTTGGTAAAACAATCAACGACTACCTCACCAGTGCTGTGGAGATGAGTGACCAGGCCATCCACTTACTGTTCTCTGCTAACAGGTGTGTGTAAACGGATTGTGTGTGTCGGAAGGTACGATACTTGTTCAGGGGCATCATATTGTGTGTGTGTATGTGTGTTTATGTATGTAAGTATGTTTTTATGTGTGTGTGTGTGTGTGTGTATGTGTGTGTGTGTTTGTGTGTTTTCGACTGGGCAAAACATATACAGACTACCTCGCCAGTGCTGAGTGCTGTGGAGACGAGTGATTAGGCTATATACTTGCTATGCTCGGCCAACAAGTGCGTGTAATGATATGTTATGCCAAAAAACCCCTAAACCATAAAACCTATCAGAAAGACCCTCAAACCCATCTGATCTGAGTCTGCAGTTAATATACTCTGCTTTAAGAACACAGCACGCTGCTGACAGTAGTGGAATTAACCTGAGAAACTATATCTGTGTACAATGCTCTATAGACTGCCCCTGCCACGCGTGACTATGAAAGGTGTTGTATTTCTAACCCTAAAACCCTAGAAAAATACAACCCTAGACATCGTACACTTTCATGGCCCTGTATCAGTGTCGCCGTGTCAGCGTGTACAAAACGTGTCCCAAGTTACGACACACTACTTGTGAGCGACCGTGCCAATTCTTCATAACCATTGCAGGTGAAAACTGAGCCTGTGAACATGGTTTTAGGGTTTTCTAACCCTGAATCGTGAACTGTCCTGTCCTATTTGCACTATGCAATGCCTCGTAAGACTTGGTTATTTGGGCTTGCCCGTATGAGTAATCCATACTAAAAGGGCAGGCGTGAGCTAAAGTCAAGCTCAACAGGGTCTTGTTTTCCCTCTGATTCTGCCCAATCTGTTCTGAGTGGTTGTGTAGGTGTGGTGGTGCGTGCGATGGTCGTCGTCAGTTGATGTCTGCGTGTATGGTTTGATGTACCGGAGAGGGAGAGTGTTGAGGTTTTAGGGTTTAAGAGGTTTATAGTTTTGGGTTGCTTGAATATCCGCATCCACGCCACAAATAACAGAGATGCCCTATGCAGTGCGAGCTTAGTGTATCGATTCCGTTAGACACTACGGATATAACGCCTGGGTGTAAGCGTTGAACATGACCTGTCGAACGATGCTACGTCCCAGTGCTTAGGGACGTATTCCTCTCGTATCCGTTAACGTACCATACACACGAGAATGTTCACGAGTATCCGTTAACGTACCGTTGTATTGAACAGATGGGAGGCTATGAAGCAAATGGAAGCAGATCTTAATGCGGGGACGACGCTGGTAGTGGACCGCTACGCCTTCTCTGGTGTTGCGTTTACCGCCGCAAAGGTGCGTTGTTTTGCGTTGTGTTGCGTTGTTTTGCGTTGTGTTGCGTTGTTTTGCGTTGTGTTGCGTTGTGTTGTGTTGTGTTGCGTTGAGTTTGGTTGGGTTGGGTTGGGTTGGGCGGGTGCACTTCCTGAGCTGCGCCGACTATAATGTATTGTGTGTAGCAGATTTGAAGATTTAAGATGTTCTGTCATATCCCCCAATCATTATATGTCTCTATGTCGGCGTGTTTCCGTGGAATGAAAACGGCTAATGAAAATAAAGAATCGGATCACCCTAGTCGATACCATCGCTTGGTCTCACTGACATCGGTGTAGTGTGGTTTAGCTTGGGTTTAGGGTTTATTAGCCCAAACAGGAATAGCAAAGACTGCATTGACAAACAGTATATCCTATCGCCTGTACATTCACCACTTGCTCTCAATAGGGATTGGACCTGCAATGGTGTTTAGGGTTTATTAGTCCAAACAGGAATAGCAAAGACTGCATTGACAAACAGTATATCCTATCGCCTGTACATTTACCACTTGCTCTCAATAGGGATTGGACCTGCAATGGTGCAAAAACCCTGATACTGGGCTGTATGCACCAGATGTAACGATATACATGGATCTCCCAGTGGATGAGGCCATGCGAAGAGGTGGCTTTGGTGAGGTGAGTGCGCACTTCTGTTTTGAAACCCAATTGTGCTCATGGGTAGAAAGGTTCAGGGTGTGGGGTGTGGGGTTAAGCGTTTAGAAAGCTAACCTTAAGTCCGTCCCAACTGGTACCGAACCTTTTGATCGGCTGCTTTGCAATTTGTGAGTATTTTCGGACCATTGATACACTTTTGTTGTGCTCGACACTGAAAAACTGAACGTTAACGTAAACGCATACCTATGTCAACTGGCGGAGTATCGGAGTGAGTGGTTGTAGATGCGTTCAAGACGTGGTAGTTGGTGGGCTGCATACGGTCAGAAAGGGTTTTAGGATTCTGACAATAAACCAATTCTTAACGAATATCGTCAAACTGTATACTATAGAACTCAATGAAAATACAGTTTGTAGATGATCACAATAATGTCTTGTGCGTGTAGTGCGCTGTGTGCTGCACCTTGCTGTCAGTAATAGTTTTGTAGAGGCTGGGGTTTAGGGTTTAAGGTTTTAGTATTAAGTTTAAGTAACCCGTTAGCTTTATGCTAGATGATTTTTGGCTGCAACTCGATAGTGCATTGCAAGGTTCACGAGGAGTTGAGTACCGAGATTGAACTTCAATGCCACAGTATTGGCGCAGTCCTGTTTTACCTACAGTACACATTCAGATATATTGATCAAGCATAGACACATAGGCAAGTACGTCAGTCAGTGTTTCTCGGTAGCATTCTTCCGTTTCGATGTATTGAACACAAGAGTGGATGTTCGAGCTTTCACGCCCAGTGACTACTATTGGTCTGAGGCATTTAATAGCGCATATCATCCCCAGCTGATTCCACTCGCACGCAAACATATATAGCTAAGGTCAAGAGAAGATCAATATGCAATAACGGTTTTATTTGCAATACCTAAGCTTTCCGATTAACCGTTGCAGGAACGATATGAGAAAGAGGACTTCCAGAACAAGGTGGGGCAAGTATTTATGCAACTCAGGACGCCAGAGTGGAAGGTGAGCTGATACCGCTTCCAGCGGTTTGGATTATTTGATAAGATTTGTATATGTGCATGTACATACAGGTATATGTATAGTTATGCATATGTTTATGTTTTAGTGTAAATATATATATATATGTGTGTGTGTGTGTGTGTGTGTTATTTATATATATATATATATATATATGTATGTATGTATATTATTTATATACGTATACATATACATATT